AACAAAGTTGTTCTGGGGAGTCTCTCCATTAAATTCATCAAACCTGCAGAAAAACATGACCTGTCAGACTTCTTTAAGCTGCTAAAAGTTTTGTTCTTCTTACCCTCAGTCTAGGTACCTGTGGGCCAGATTTGTCCCTGCATTTTAGTCTGCTCTCTGACTAAGATGCCTTCATATGCTTTAAAGATGTTTTGGGGAGACTTCAGGTCTTTGCCTGAGTTTCCTGCAGAAACCACCAGCATTCCACTGGAGCCTGGAGAACTCTCCTTCAAATTGTCCAAGAGTTTTCAGCACTTCCCACATTATTTCTGTTTGTCTCAATTGTACTTAGGGAAACACTGCGCTGAACATCTATTGAGAACACTTTCCTTCATTTCTGGATGCTTCTGTGTCCCGCAACTGTTAAGGAAAACAAAAGCTTCAGTTCAGAAATCTACTTGTTAAATGAAAGTGTGTAGGGAGAGAGAAGCCTTAATAAATAAACCAGCAGGGATCTAAAACACAAGCAACAAAGAGGATGGCCATGTTTTGCCTGCTTGCCAAGATACTGGCAAATAGCTGTCTCAGCACTGTGCCTAAGAGCAGACTCCGCTTCTTCTACCACAAGGGAACCTCAAAAGGCCACTGTAGCTAGGACTGGGCTTCCTGCTGTTGGTCATTAGGCACAAATACCAAATTCCTTCTTCCCCTTCCACTGAGCCATAATGAAGTCCTTAGCTTGAGTTGGAAACCACAGGTTCTGCTGATTCCAGTAAACACCAAATATTTAAACATACGCTACTTAAAAAATGATATCATAAAGAAATGCTTTTTCTCATGAATACCTTGATAATTATAAACAAGGCTGTAGGAGAGACAGCTGCCTTTATCTCCAAGGTGTTGGTACAAGTAAAAATCCTGTTTGCAATTGATGCTGACCACAGTCATTGTTTTAAAGTACTTTTCCACAAACACATCATTATGTGAATGTAGGAAAATACTCTCTAGTCTTTTATATTCTCCACTGCTGTAAAGCAATGGAGATGTGCAGCATTTCCAGGAGCCTAATGAAGGGTCGAGGAGAGTTGATAGCTGTGGACACAACTCAAGTTTATTAATCCCAGCCAGGCATTAATCCAAAGGAATTACCCTACTCTGATGTTCTTATTCCTGGTATAAGATGAAAATGAAGTACACCATGTATAGTGGGTGAAGAGATTTATTTTTCCATGAGTGCTGTGTTTCATCTCTATGTCCTTTCAAGAGAGTTAATGCCTTTACTGTACCCTAGCCAATCAAGCTGCATGTCTAATGTCTACTTCTTTAATAATGTAACATATCCTGATCTCTCCACTACAGATTACTTTTATAAATCATATCCAGAATCCTGCTTAATATGAATTGCTTAGAATTGAAAACATAAGGCTTTTTTCAGGCTTTTTTCAGAAAGCAAAACATTGCACAACTACAGAAACATGCTAGCACTTTGTGTGAGAAGTCTAGTGCTGTAGAATAGAAGATGAAGAATGGCTTGAGTGTGAAAATGGAAAATAATTAATATGATAAGGAAAAATTATTTTTCAGAACACCATCTCATAGGTGCTTAGCACCATGAAAGTGTATAAAAAATGCTTATTTGCCAAGTCTTATATTAAACTGGTCTAATTTTTCATTTCAAACACTGTTGAAAGAAAGGGTAGTTCCCATTCATTAGATGCCATCTATGTTAAGGAGGTGATTTTACTATCCCTGTGTAGTCATTTGAGGCAGTTTTCTTCATATTGCTCATACCTAATATAAGCCCAAAGGAGAGGTTAAATTTTCTGATAATAAACGTTTGGCTGCTCCTCATATTTTAAAAGAACAAACTTATGGCATAGCCAAATGAGTTCCAGAAGGCAATAAATGTGCTGGCCTCATGTCACTAGTAAACACTCACATATCTGAAGAGAAAAAACAGTTTTTTAAGAAGAGAGAATGGACAAGGTAAATACCAGAACTACCACCCTGGACTTCAGGACAATGGCCTTCAACCTTTTCAGGGATCTGCTTGGAAGAACTCCGTAAGAGATGATCCTGGGGAAAAGAGGAGGCCAGGAGAACTAGTGATTCTCCAGGATCACCTCCTTTAAGCTCAAGAACTGTCCATCCTGACATGCAGGAAGTCAAGGGAAGCCTGCATGGATGAACAAGTTGCTCCTGGTAAAGCTCAAACATAGAAAGGAAACATAAAAGAAGTGGAAGCAGAGTTAGTTGACCCAGTGCAGAGGCTGGGTGGGGAATATACAGATAGTGTTTGACCATGCAGGGACGGAGTTAGGAAGGTAAAAGCCCACCAGGAGCTGAGCCTGGCAAGAGACTTAAAGAGCATCAATGGGGGACTGCTTCGAAGAGCTGCTTCTGTATGAGCAGCAAAAAGGCAGCTAGGGAAAATACGAGTCTTCTGCTGAGTGGGACATGGAAAAGGCTGAGTTACTCAATGCCTCCTTCACTTCATCTTTACTGGTAAAATCTGCATACAGGAATCCGAGGCCTCTGCGACCAGAGAGAAAACCTGCAGCAATGAACATTTACCTTCAGTGGGGGAATACCAGGTTAGGGGAACATTTAATCCAATTGGACATACAAAAGTTGAAGGAACCGGACGAGATACAGCTACAAGTACTGAGGGAGCTGGCCAGTGTCAATGCGAGACCATTCTCAATTGTCTTTGGAAGGTCCTGGTGATTGGGGGAAGTTCCTGAGGACTGGAAGAAAGCAGATATCACACATATCTTCAAGGAGGAGTATCTGGAGAATTACAGGCTAGTCAAGCCACATTTCAATCCCTGAGAAGGTGATGGAGAAAAAAAATCTGGAAGCCATTTACAAACATCTGAAGGACAATAAGGTGACTGGGAGTTGTCAGTGTGGATTTACAAAGGGGGAATCATGCTTGACCAACCTGATAGGCTTCTGCAGTGAGATAAATTAGGTTCATCTTGGTCGATGAGGGGAAAGCAGTCATTGTTTTTTGACGCTGTCAAAATGAATGAAAATAGGTGGACAGAGAGATTCAAAACTGACTGAACTGCCAGGCTTAAAGTCTGTGGTCAGCAGCATGACGTCCAGCTAGAGGTTCATCATTGGTGGTGTACCCCAGGGGTCAGTACTGGGGCCAGTACTGTTTAACATCATTAATGACTTGGATAATGGGACAGAGTACACTCTCTGCAAGTTTGCAGATGATAGAAAAGTGGAAGAGTGATTGATACACCTGGTGCAACAGGACATTACAGAGAAAGGAAAAAAAATAAAAATGCTAGCAGGGAGGAAAATATGTTGTTTAATCACATAGGAACCAAGACTTTTCAATTGAGCAGAACTCCTGAGTGTGCAAGAAGTAGAAGGAAGGAGAAGGATTTTTGAAGGGGATTTAAGAAGTGAGAGGGATGTTCCAAATACACTGGACTATTGGAAGCTGGTGCCAAAATGAAAGATTGCTTTACTTTCAAGGCTTTGTCTTTCTGTAAATGAGTAGTCAAATACTGTGTTGAATTCTGGTCATCATATTTCAGAAAGGATTGAGCAATGGTAGCAAAATGACCAAAAAAGGTAGCAAAAATGATTCAGAGTTTCTGAATCAGTTCAGAAATATTCTCGTATATAAGATTAAAATTGTGTCACCCCAAATGTCAGTTGCAGAGATGGAATTAGAAGCAGGTTTGTTGACTTCCAGAAGAGCATTGTAACCACTCAGCCATCCTTCCTTGATATAAAAACAAGAAAAAGAGGACATAGTCAGAGTGCAGGATCTTCTGTCTGTAACAAAATAACATTCAGTGAAATAGAAAGATGTCAAATTCAAAGTGAACGGAAAGATTTACTTGATACCTGATATATTAACCTTCAAAACTAATTCCAGTTAGATACCAGTGCTGCCAAGAGCTAAGCAGGATTCAAAATATGTATGTGGAAAATATTTGTATCTTTGTATTGTAGTAAATGTTGCAACCATTGAAATTCTTCTAAGGGACGTGCACTTTCACATGTCAGCACTTAAGCCAGTTCATAACAGATTTAGGCAGATATTTTTCATACCAGCACTTAACTATAGGCAGTTTGCACAGAGTGGGAAATTATTGTCCAGGTCAGAACAGCACAATGAGACACACAGTTGGTCAGATGTAGTGTGTCGGTGCCTTCCTGGCTTCCAAATAAGGTGAAAGCGCTAATTAAAATTCACAGCATGAGCTAATACGGTGTAACAGTTTTTAGTCATTCTAAACCAGGGAAGGTAATGCCTAATCTAATCTAATCTAATGATATTTTATAAATACAAGCAAGTATAAGTGAAAGACAGAGAACTGACAAAGAGATACATTTTGTTTTGCCTGCACATCTTTGGGTGCTTAATGAGAGCTATACAATTTCACCAGGCAGCCAGTTAAACATGACCACTATACATTCCTATGGCAGTTGCACAATGCAAGGTGAGTTGTTCTGGGTTTTTTGAGCCCTACTGCAATAGGAAATCAACCACACTCTAAGTGAAGTGCAAAGATATTTGTTCCTATTGCTGTTCTGTGATGGGAAGGAACAGCCATTCCTTTAATGCCATCAGGTTTGCTACCAGCCTGGTCTCAATGTAGGCTGGAAATTTTCTCAAGATACTTGCGTTTGTTATTGGGCTTGGTGAGTTGAGGCAAGATTTTAAAACATAGGCATCCCATAAACCTCCCTCCTGCTTCAAACTCACCAATCTCCTATTTCAGAGAGCAATATGAGAAACAGCTGTGTGTGTCTTTCTGCATATCTAACCCTTCTTCCCCATCTGAACATGCAGCCTTTGTATTGCAGCTTTGTGCTGTATTATGAGTTTGTCTTGTGGACACGTACAGGTCCCAGGATTGCTCTGCCCTTTACCAAAAAAAAACAGCTTTGCCTCAGGAAATCAGTGCTCTGTATTTTTGTTTATTTCTCATAATGCTTATAAGTATAAACATGTTTTTTAATAATTTGTGGGTTTTATGTAATTTCAGAGAAAGAATGATCTCTATACTCTTTCTTCCAATGTGTCCTTCGAAGTTAAGAACATGCCATATAAAGTGCAACCAGCAAAGCTCCCCAAGGGAAGCATAGCAGTAAGTAACTGAAAATGGTATCTTTGTGTAAAGCCCGTGTGTTGGGTCATTCTGATCACAACTGTGAAAGTTTTTATAGATTAAAATATTGAGATCGGTCTTTCCTGTGTTTCTAGTGTAAATTCCTGAAATAACATCCAAAGGAAATACTTCTATCGCTTTCTGTGGAAGTTGCTGCTATATGATACTAATTCTATTTTTAATAATTTCTTGCTGCATTAATGTGTAGACTGCTTTATTGCAGTCAGGATGGAAATTGGACCCAGAAGAAAACAACAAAACTGTGAAAGCAAGTGTGTAATTACTTTGTCTGTGGTAAAAAAAAAGACTGGAGGAAATTTTTGTGCAAAATCCAAAATCTAGTTTCTGTCAGGTTTAGAGATCTCACTCTTCCCCCAGTCAGCAGTTCTCTCACACAAGCTTATGCATTATGTGTGGCAGCTTCTCTCTTATCTATATTAAGCTTCTCTGATACTCTGATTTTCAGAAAGGTCTGCATGCCCCTCTAGGGTTTCCACCTCACAGCACATCAGGTGCAAGATATTAAATTACCTGGTAATCCTTACAGATGTGATCGATGGATACTAAAGTACTTGATTTATTTGCAGAGCAAGATCTGTATGGCCCTGGATTATTATATGAAAAATTAATCTTGGAGGTATAAGTTTGATTTAATTGTTTGCTGGTGCCAAAGCGGTGGGTTTGGGGAGCAATTTAAAGGAATTTGCTTCTTCTAGTACCTAATAATGACATGGTTTAAATTTACTTTACTTATTTTGCCATTACTGATGGAAATAAGTAAAAGAAGAGTACAAAATTTGATTCTAGTATAAGAGCAATCTGAAATTTGAAGTCTTACTGTTCTTATCTTTATAAAGATCTATCATTTACAGGCCGCCTTTTAAAATGTAAGCTCAGTACAAACTTTTCCAAATTAAATTGTGGTGCAAATCACACAATCACAGAATTGCCTCTATTGGAAAAGACCTTTAAGATCATGGAGTCCAATCATTAACCCAGCACTGACAAGTCCACAACTAAACCGTGTCCCTAAGCACTATGTCTACAGGGCTATACCTCCAGGGGTGGGGACTCTACCACTTCCCTAGGCAGCCCATTCCAATGCCTGATAACCCTTTCAGTAAAGAAATTCTTCCTCATATCCAATGTAAACCTCACCTGGCGCAACTTGAGGCCATTTCCTCTTGTGCTGTCATGTGTTGCTTGGGAGAAGAGATCGACTCCCACCTCTCTACACCCTCCTTTCAGGTAGTTGTAGAGAGCAATAAGGTCTCCCCTGAGCTTCCTTTTCTCCAGACTAAACAACCCAGTTCTCTCAGCCGTTCCTCATGAGACATGTACATCATATTAGCAGCCTTCCAATACCTGAAGGGGGCCTACAAGAAAGCTGGGGAAGGACTTTTCATAAGGGCAGTTAATGACAGAACAGGGAGAAATGGCTTTAAACTGGAAGAGGGTAGATTTTGATTAGATATTAGGAAGAAGTTCTTCACTGTGAGGGTGGTGAGACACTGGAACAGGTTGCCCAAGGAAGTTGTGGATGCCCCCTCCCTGGAAGGGTTCAAGGCCCGGCTGAATGAGGCTTTGAGCAACCTGGTCTAGTGGAAGGTGTCCCTGCTCATGGCAGGGGGGTTGGAACTAGATGATCTTTAAGGTCCCTTCCAATCCAAACCATTCTATGATACTATGATATCAGTCTGTTGCGATGTAGTCATAGGGAACAGAATATTTTCTTATATGGAAAACCAAAATAATAATACACTTTACAGCTTACGTCTAATTTAGAGGATACAGGCTATAAAGCTTTGTTTTGGACAAGCACACACTGAATGGTTAATCGATACTTGCTCTGGGAAGACATAATGTGAAATCTTGGTCCTGTATGCTCAGTGACTCCAATTCCCAACATCAGGAGAACCATGATTTCACCAGAGAGGTTTGATGCCATATTCATCCAGAAGGGTTCAAAGGCTCCAAGCTAACAGATATACTCAGGCTCCTTTTATATTCTCGCAGCATGTGTTCCCATACCAGAAACACATGTTGTGCATAACTCTGTTGATAGTGGTGCCTTCATCTGGACTGAAGTGCTTTACCCCAGGTGATAGCCTGCTGTTCTCAACAAGTGTCAGATGATCTACCAAATGATCAGATAAGCATTTTATTCTCTGAAATTTATTCTCTTACTCCATCCAGTATGATGCTTGTTATTTGCTGCAGATGATTTACAGCAAAATGCCTGTAATGGCAACTGTAAAATGTTGAAAAATGATAGCACTTTCATGTCGTTTCATATCTGGACATGGCAGTGGATGCTTGCCAGCTCTACAGCTTGCTGTGTTATATGCACAAGCTCTTTTGATGTTCCACTTGCAAGAAGAAATATTTGCTTGAAGTTGGGCAATGCTTAATATTTTTGCTCCTTCTGAAACAGATCAATGGTTGTGTTTTAAAAGTTTCCAAAGATTTATTTGGAAGTTTATGGTTTTCTTTCAGACAATGCAAGGGTGGAAGTGGAATAAAGATTTTAATATTTTGAAACTAATTGTCAAAAGTATATATTTAATAATCAGCTAACACCTTACAGTTCATATAGTGAAGAGAATATATTCTAAAAGAACAGATCATATGTCCTTCATTTAACTCATGCAGCACTGGCTTCAAATTTTGCAGGCTGATATCTACATTTAATTTCAATGGTATAAATAATCCCATACATATCAGTAACCTACACAGTCACAGAATCATAGAATGGTTTGGGTTGGAAGGGACCTTTAAAGCTCATCTAGTACAACCCCCTTGCAGGGAGCAGGGACATCTACAGCTCGATCAGGTTGCTCAGAGCCCCGTCCAGCCTGAACTTGAATGTTTCCAAGGATGAGGCTTCTGTCACCTCTCTGGGAAACCTGTTCCAGTGTTTCACCTCATTGTAAAAAATTTCTTCCTTGTATCTAGTCTAAATCTCCCCTCTTTTACTTTAAAACAGTTACCCTTGTCCTGTTGCTACAGGCCTTGCTAAAAGGTTTGTCCCCATCTTTCTTATAGGCTCCCTTTAAGTATTGAAAGGCAGCTATAAAGTCTCCCTGGAGCCTTCTCTTCTCCAGGCTGAACAACCCCAACTCTCTCATCATTTTGTCATAGGAGAGGTGTTCCAGCCCTCTGATCATTTTTGTGGCCTTCCTCTGGACCCACTCCATGTATGTATGTGCTTACATACTTGCAGCACTGAGGTCTTTATTTCCATCATCATGGAATATAGGTCTATATCTTGAACACAGAGTCATTATACATAGATGTGTGAAAAGTTGTGTAAATGTAAGAAAATCTGTATCTTTTATAGTAAAATATTAGAGTGAAAATGGCATCAAATAGGAAATCAGCTTGGAACTTCATGGAGCTTAAACCAAAATCCACTGAAATCAATAAATGTATTTCTGTTGATTTTGATAGGCTTGGAATTACAACTATATATTGTAAAACTTGTTGAATTTCCTTGCTAAAAGCTGGATCATTCAAGAGAAATTGTCATTTTTTCTTAGAGGTATTATTATGGTAAATAATACCATCCTCCTTGATGAATTTCTTATGCAAGGTTAAATACTTCTTTTTATTATAAAAAATACAGAGTTAGAATAAGCAGTAATTTGTTCCATTTTAATTAATGATTCTTGATCCAGTTTTGGAGTTTAATAAAACATGATTGCTTTTCTAAAATGCTTGTTGGGATCTTCAGAGGGGATACCTTTAGTATAAACTCTTTGACCAGTGTCCTCCAGTGAGTAAAACTGATTTTAGACTAAGGCTTTTAATTCTATTTTAGCTATTACATGGTTACGAGTACTTTCATTTTAAATGTGCTTATATTCCATATAAATATATTTGCACAAACATTTATAAAGTGTAAACATAAATGTCAGTATTTATTATTTGTGACACTCAAGCTCAAGTGAGGTTTTACTTTCTTTTTTGAGCATTTTTTTCAGAACATACAAGAACATCATGCTCAAAGGTTGGATAGGAACATGTAGGAGCACTAAAGAGTTCCTCTTTCTCAGTCTCTGTAAGCAAAATGAGTAAGGATTAGAGGAAGATCATCATGGGTAGTAAAAGGGGCAGCATTAGAATAATAACTAATATAGTTGCTGTTTCTTAAAGTAGCGGATTAAACAATGGAGAAGTAAATTTTCTTTTTTTTTTAAGTGTGTCTTTTAAAGGACAAGAGTGGAAAAAATAGCTTTCTGAGAATTTCACTAGCAGTCACTGCATTCTGACCATTGATGCTGGATGTTTGCACCAGTAATACCCAATTCTCATCTATCCACAAGGACCTACTGATGAACCAGCAGTTTACCACACAGGCTGCTCTCTGCATTGTGCTGCCTTCCAGTGGAATCAAAGAAAATTCTGAAGCTACACTGAGTAACACCAAAATCAGGAGCAAAATCCAAACTGTAAAAAAATCAGTGGCAAAAAAACTAATATTTCTTTATTTACAATGTGCTTAACTGTGGCCCATTAAAAAGAGAAAAATTAAATCCTCCCTATAGAATACCTTGATGAGCAACAAGTGACTTTCATGGAGCCACAACAGTGATTCTGAAGCTAAGACTATCAGACAGCATCCATGCTAAGACATGTTGGATTTTATTTCGAAAGCAGACAAAGTCTCTGTCTGTCATTCTCAAGTTGGCTTCACCCTCATCTTGGTGCTTGAGGCAGATGGCATTCCTTGTCATCCCTTTGCATATAAAAGGTGTGAGACATTCAGCAGTGTGAAAGGCCAAAAGTCAGATGGCTCCTCTCAAGTCTGTTAGGTGTGCTTTTCACCAGCCTGATGGAGAAGCAACCACTGTTTTCAGTGCTCAGTATAAGAAGGTCTTCCAGCCCTGAATGGAAAGGAAAGCCAACCTGCATCTAAAGTACATTGCCAACATGCAACACTTGTGTAAAAAATCCACTTCTTCATATTGGCCACCTTAGATGAAAACAGATAAATCCCTCCCAGAACGTTCCCTGGCTGTGATCCTGGAGTACTAAACCTACCACATGGAGAAGAACAGAAATCCAAGCTGAATAATGCAAACTTGTCTTAAATCAAAATCATATGTAAAACTGTTGTGGACAGCATGGGGTGGAGGAGGGACAGTCTTTGTGGAAATGGTGAAATGGGGCAGGCAAAACTGAAGGGATGCTTTGTTTCTTTCTTCTCCTCCAGCTTCTGCATCAACTCTGTGGGTGTTCAGGGTTTGCAGTGTCAAACTCTTTACCAGTAATTGCATTAGTAGCTCTGCGAGTCTTTGTATAGAGTATAAAACATGGCAGCCCAGGGGCATTATATTCTACTGGTAATGTACACAGGCAGGAGTGAGGCTGACGACTACATATAATCCTCTGCTCAGGAAATAAATCTCAAGTACTTAGCACAACCCTCCCCTTGCTTTCCAGACCTAAAACAAAGAAGGATTCATGGCAAAAGGGTGTGGGTGAAGCAAGATGGTTTTAAGATCTTAGCAGGCATATATTTCATTAGCCATTGGCCTCACTCCTGCTACAAGAGGAGAGAGATGTGACAGCTTTGCAACAGCATTCTGCTTGGTACAGGATAGACCTAATTCCTGCTGTCCGTTTTACTCATTGCTGATAATCAAAGGATTACAAACATGATGCTCTGCACTTCGGTAAGATTGCAGTTTCTTGTTTATATTTCAAAATTCGTCAGGCTCCAACTGAGCTACAGAAACTACACTGTAAATTGCCCTTTACTGTCTGAAAAGGCTGAATGATAGAAAAAAAGAAAGAGAGAGGATTATGAACTCATGCAGTACAAGGAAGCTTGAGCATTGCTACACCACTCGTAATTGGTTACAGGGTGTCCTCAGGAAGACCCAGATGTCCTTATCTGGACCCATGCTGATAGGTGCTCTGTAGGTATCACAAGAAGAGCTAGGTTGCCTTCCTGTTTTCATAGACTAAGAGGAAAGAAAAAACAACATGCAAATGCAGCAGACATCTAGGAAGCGGTGCATAAAAGACATGGAATGGCTCTGTAGGTCCTTGTAGTTGCATAAACTACTATCAGCTTTATCCAAAGCCTAATGAAATCCACCATCCCTAATGAAATTGACTGTTTCCACTGATTTCATCAGGATCTCAAACATGCTTTGAGGTCTGGACTGACCCCATCTAATTTTGAACAGTGTACTGAAGCACATTAGTTAGAAGTGTAGTTGCTGTGCGCCTGTGCAATCAGTAGGCAGCCTTATGAACAATTCAATCCTAGACAACACTAGGCAGCAGCTTAGCTCACCCCTGTCTGAGAGCACCTGTGTTGCTGACATCGTTGCTTTAGATCGGATGAAAGTGGACTTGGTGCCTAAGGAGACAACTGTGGTTCAGTCAGATACTATCTTAAGAAATCTGTAAACAGAAAATCCTTACTACAGAAGTACCTGCCCTTTCTGTTAATTTCCATATTCAGGATGTACAGTTTCAGTAGACTGTCCCTCTACCAACCCAGCCATAGCTGGCCAGACACTTGCCAGAATCTTTTTGTTCTGGTTTGCTGATGTTGTACAGTCCGGCCCAGAGCCATGATGCTGACTCCGTTTCCTGTTGCATTTATCTCAGTCACATTATACCACCTAGGAATTTGGCTCAAGCTATCAATACCAGAAATGGCTAAATCAATTTTTTGCAAGCACTTGGGTCTTCCCTTGGGTTTGATCTTACCATAAAATGGAGTCGGTCATTTTGTCAAACTTGAGAGGACAGAAAGCCCTGCGTCTTGCTGTTGTTAACAAGTATTTGTTAAGATGGTTGTGGCAAGTGGTCTATCACTTTACTGCTCCAGCTCCACAGCAACATGCTCAGATAAGTGATAGTATTAAAACAGAAACTGTAGTGAAGCTCAAACCTTACATAAGTAAGGTGTGTACACTGTATGTTGATAGTTTCAGATCCTTTTCAAATAATAATTTAAAAAATTATACCTTCTTGCTTGTGGTACCACAGCCTTTGCCAGCGGAGGAAGCACACAGTGTGGATGAGTTGGTTTTTTTTTAAATTAACCTCAGTTTTTGCTATCTTGGAGCCCACTGAATTTTCATCAGAACTTCCCAACTCATGCTACATGTGATCAAGTCTCCAAGGCTTGCCTCGGGGCAGCATTCATGAGAATTTTCAAGCCATAGAAGGGAGATGGTTTCTTCCTTGGACAGTCGAGTGCATTGCCTGCTACAGGCTTTGTGCAGCCCATCATGTCTGCATCCCTTCTGATTTCCCTGGTCAGAAATGCTCTTACTTGCATTCATCTTTTTTCTTTAATGGGCTTTTCTCTGGGAGGACTCTTTGATGACAGTTCAGATGACCTTTTTCTCTTTTTCTCTGCCCTTGCATTTTAATGCCAGTTACAGTACCACTCTGAGACACAAGGAGAACCATTCAAAAACATTTTGTCCTTACTAAATGAGTACTGCACTGTAATCTAATGATACAGAGAGCCTATGAAGTTAAGAAGCAACCCAAAGAGGAGGCTGGTAAAGGGAATGGTATCCCTGCAGTGGCATAGTTGATCACACCAGCAAGATACCTTTTGGGACCCAGGGGTGGGATTTCATGGGTTTTTTTTAATTCTGTTTGCCTTGAAATATTTTTTTCTTGCTTTAATTGGCTAAGATATTTATTCTTTGTATATGCTGTCTTTTTGAAGTCTTTTAGAGTAATAACTATTTACAGCTGCACCAGAGAAGCATATTAGCTGAATGCATTTGTTAGATCAACAATGGTATGGCCAGCACTGCAGGCACTTAATCTTCAGGGTACAGGTCAATGTTAAAGTGCTAATGCCAGAAGGACTAGGAAGTGTCTTAGAATTTTCTGTGTAACCCTCAGTGTAAGCTTGGGTAGAAGGCAAGAGGTATCCCACATACAATGTTTGTCCCTAATTTCAACTATGAACTGTGTCCCGTAACAGTGAGGGATCTTACAAAGAATATATACATCAGTAGACCTCACCAGACTGGCATCTTCCTAAGCATTGTGTCAGAACAGAGGACAGTTGGCTGCACAGATGAAGTAAGTTGGAAAGGACTATTCCAAAGTATCTTCCAGTTAAGCTAGTGCTTGCAGAATGAAAAGTCTGGGAAAGTATGCTGATCACGAGAAAGACTGAGAGAGGAAAGGGCTAGGTGTTGCAGAAAGGCTGAAATTTGCCATCTTCAAGGAGAAAAGTGAAAGACACAGAAATGGAATTAATTTTGAACTGGACTACAGAGTCAAGTCCAGTCTTCAAACTTAGTATGCTGTTCCATGAATGAAAAAATAAGTGTTGTGCTAAATTTCAGGTGCATCAACCAGTGAGTTAATAGCAAAAAAACAAGTAGAAAGAGAATTTGTAAGGAGTGCAGATCAGGGACTGGACAATAGCCAAGAAACTTATTAAGAAGAGATTTCCTAGCTATACCTCAAGCACTGAAGAGGAAGATCATTTGAGAGCTTGAGTAATCAGTTTGCAAAGCGAACTGATTTCATCTTGTCATGAAAATACCTTCCATCTGTCACATACTTATCCTGTTTAAGGCAGACTAGGAGTAAATGAGAGAGGTCTAACAGAAAACCTGAGAGAGAAACAACTTCCTAGGCTAACAGTAAAGAAGAAAGTTTGACAAAATAAACTAAAACTGAAGGGACATAATTGTGGCTGAGAAGCTAAGGAAAGTTCATACTCTTTCCTTCTCACTTGGGAGCAGCAGAGAGAGAGCAAATTTCAATGCAATTGACAAGGAGCCTTCCAAGCAGAGATTGTAGAATAAATTTGATACAAGGTATGGAAGGGAGAGCCAAGAGGATGGCCCCAGAAGGAGAAATACAAAGGGTTATTATTACTCTTTGTCAAGATGAAGGTCTAAAGAGAGAAGTTTGCCAAGTCAATTAAAAGCTTTCATAACTCATAGACACCTGCTGCTTTCTAGAGCATCAGACAATGAGAGAGGGCATTTCATGCTTATTTCCCATTTAGGTAATAGTCTGAATGCTTGGCTGCTTTTAAGGAGTGTATCATCATAGTGTGTGTTGGGCTTTATCACAAGAACAATGCACTCTGCTTGAGTTTCATTTTGGACTGCCTGGCTGAAACGCAAGTCATAGAAAAAAATGTATACTGATGTGTCAGAAGGAATTAAAATAAGAATAACAAAGCTGGTATCTATTGTGGTTTGAATTAAGAGTTTGGGCTGAAGTCAACCATTGTTTCAGAGTAATTCAACATAAGTCAGTTACACTGGCCTGGATTGTAGCAGCATACATGTGAGTAGAATTTCGCTCCTTGAATGTTCTTGAAGCATCTGCGCAGAAGGGTATTTTTTGCTACTCTCTGTTAAATGAAAATTATTTATAAGTCTGATAAAACAAGACTTCTATATGTGTGAATCCTATTTCTAGTAATTATCATGAACAAGTGGAATTATCATGAACTTGCAGTAAATGAAGCCAACATGGGAGAATTCCAAGCAATATGTGTTTCTAATCTACAAAATGCTATTGAAGTGAATGTTTATAACTTCTGTATTCTACTGTCAGATTTGCTTTACTTGCTTAATTTTTGTTCATTTAATGTATTCTTTTCATTTCAGATCAGAACATCTGTCATTTGGTCCACTCCAAATGTCTCCTTTGTAATCCCTTTATGGGTTATAATACTAGCAATACTTCTTGGACTACTGGTACTAGCTATGTTGACCCTAGCTTTATGGAAGGTATGTTGCATTATTACTCCTACTGTTGCCTTAAAAAAACCCTGAAAGATACTGGAAGATACTAATAGATAAGAAAAAGAGAGCTTGGAATTTTGTGATCTTTAACAGTTTGGAGCAAAAGCAACAATACATGCATGTCTCTTTTGTTTTGGCATTTCTGACATGCTGGTGTCACTGATCTTTATGCAGGGAACTTGTTTTCAGAGTCCTCCTTTACTACTAAAGTCTGGTTATAAATGGGCATACAGCATTTGGCTGTTTCCCAAGATGTATGATCCTCTTTTTCAGGATGTTTATGTTCAAAAAGAAGTGACTCTAACTTTGTTTTCTCTGAATACTTCAGGGAATTCCATTTTTTTCAGCATGTAACAACACTCACAGCTTTGAGAATTAATTTTTGGAAGATTTCCTTTTATATTAGTATGTCATATCTTCTTGTTTTGAAGTTTTCTAGTTGTGTGTTGGTTGTTACACTCCCTTCACAAGTTTTAAGATAAGTTACTGGAAACAGCTATGTTACAGGGAGCCAATGCAGATTTTGGCTATCCTATCAGTTCCCATTAAAAAAAAGAAAAAAATCCAGTTAGGATATGGCTCATCTGCCTTTAGCTGCCTAAAGGTTACGGGGTAGGAGTCCAGCCTATGCTAACTTTGCAGATTTGCCTAGTCATTTAACAACAACATCAAAAAGCTATGTCTAAAACATGGGAGGATGAGAGAAGTTACCTTTTCGTGGTACTCTGCTTTGACCTTTTGTGAAGCCTACATAACTTTCAACCTTTCAGCCAAAAGAGTAACTTTTAGACAGTTAAACTTAGTGAGAGGAATCTCATCTTTTGTGATCTTTAGTCTAGGTGAGAACACTGTCCTGTGCATATTTCCCAACACATATTCCACCTCTGTTGTTATTACTATCTGTCAATCTAAATATCTTTTCTGAATTATCGTGTCTTGCTGAACTGAAATTAGCAATTTTCTCATCAGAGTCAGTCAGCATCAGCATTCAGACCGCCTTTACATCTCCTGCAAAGACAGCTTTCATTTGAATTTTTAAAGCTATACTTTGGAACTCAATGCCTTGCACCTAAGACTTTAGTTTTTCATAGGGAACAATTTGAATAGAAAAAAAAAGCTTCACATAGATCATGCCCAGCCTTTCAAGTTGACTGAGTGAAGACTCAAACTGCAGCTGAGTTGTGGTTGTCTTACCTTGACAACTTTGTTTCTGTTGATTGTTTTCTGCAGTGTGGCTTCTTTGACCGAGCTAGACCTCCTCAAGATGACATGGCTGACAGGGAACAACTGACAAATAACAAGACTACTGATGCATAGAAGAAGAGAGTGACAGTTCAAGTCAGAATCTTGCCTGAGACTAGAAACACAACGGGGACTAAATGAAGGATTCCTTCCACCAGTCTTCCTTGGTACCTGCAAGTGACATGGTGTAGTAACCTGATCTGCAACATCCTGAGAACATGCCACATGATGGCCATCCTTGCCAAAGCAAGCAGCGTTATGACTGCCTTACAAACATACTCACCAGTGAACAGAATGTTTATCCCATATTCCAGTCATTCTACATTTCAGCAGATGCTTTTGAACACGTGTGGTATACTGAGATGCTTCCACAACACCTGCATTGCTGTATTGTCTAGAAGATGGACCAGGACAAAACTTCTGAATGCTACTGTATCATGCAGAATACCTTTGTCACCTCCCTAAGAATAAGAACTTTTATGAAATTATGGCTCAGGAAGACAAGCAATATATCAGTACTGTGAAAGTACTTCTGAAAAACAAAGGTAGTCTATGCAGAACTTCATAGATGGGGCACAATTATTTATTTTTCCACCTTTTCAGGATAAATATCTGATATATTCAACTTAGATTTTGAGAGAAATAAAAAAAAATAGAAATCATGTACTACCTTGCATGTAAACAGAAAAGTAAGCCCATTGTATACACAGAACACATCTTTATTGGCTACAAGATGTTTTGCAAAGCAGATTTATGCAACATTTTACAAGATGAGACGTGATGAACAAGCACATATTGTATCTCTTTCAACTCAGAGCTGGCAGTGTCACACCCAGATAACTAAATCCATGCACAGTATGGAGCAGGGGATGAGTTACCCACTCATTGCATTGCTGATGGCTGACACCTGTACAGCTGACACAGGGGACAGTCATTTGTGGAACACTGATTTAAATTATCACCCCACACTGATGGTCTTGAGAAGGCTTGGGGGTTTTTGGCTAGGATAAATTTTCTTTGCCATTGCCTTGTTACTTTGTTGAAATGGCCTTGTAAAGTGGCATGGCTACTGCCATTGTATCCTCTGTTTAATTTGTGTCATAGAGCCTAACACTTTGTTCACCCAAAGAAATCTTTGCCTTTTTTTAAAATATTTTAGTCTACAAGCTGGCAGCATATTTTAAAGTGTTGATTTCAGCAAAGTTTAGGGCTGAATACAATTATTTCTTAAGCAATGTCTTGCAGGGAAGGCGGGCAAGATCTGTATTTATGCAGAAAAATAGGATGCCAGCTGGACAAGCATGAACAAAAAGAAGATACTTTGAGGTAAAGAGTGAAAATATATGTTTAGTATTTTCTTGTTTTCTAGATTGAAGATTCTAAAGAAGAGAAGCTTCATTCTTTTTCTTCTGTCAGCAAATGGTCCTTATCTCAGCAGGGGCTCTAAGCTCTGATCTGTGCAAATTTGTGCCTGAAAGCTTGAGTCTTAGAGTGCTGCCTGTGAGTGTGAAATTAGCTATATTGTGTAAAGTTCAGGAGGGATTGTTCATTTTCTGAAACATACACCACATTTTCCTTCTCCTGAGCAAATTTTCTTTCCAATCCGTCTCAGTTTCTTAGTAGGCAAATGGCCTCACCCATTCTGCCACTGCTTGGCTCCTTTCAGATAACTGCCCTTCGGCTTCCTAAGGCTTCAGGACAGGACTAGCCATGAGACATCGTCCCTTCTGTCAGTCTGATAGGACTTGTTACAGTTTTACCATTTCTTGCACACAGGCTGACCTGTGAAATCCAAGCAGGAGCTAGGGAACTTGAGCAGGTGTGTTCCATCTTTATACCTAAGGCAAATTTGCAAGAAGATCATTATAGAGTCTTTAGCTTATCAGATGCAATGTGCCCATGAGACTTAATGAAAGGAGGAGACACAGGGGAGGCCTGACCACTTTCTTTTTCCCAGAAAACCATTAACAGCACCCTTCCCTCAAATGGGTTTGAGCTGACCCCTTGTTGATTAGAGAGATCAGCTGATAAATACCAGCACAAAGCAAGCCCGTCCCACATTTGCACACCTCTGTATCTCATATATTCCAAGCAAAATCATCACCCTGTGAAAAAGATGGTGAGCTTCTAGCTTTTGTAAATACTGAATTGTGTGTAGCAGCTTCTGCAATAAGATCAGCCGGCTCATTACAGTCACAGCATCTGCACAACTTTTACTCTGATGAGATGGCACCACAAGGAGATACTGAACGTAGGACTTTTGTACGTGCAATACTTCATATTACTTATATACCTGAAGCATGTTTACACTGGCATTTGTGGTTGTTTTTTAAACTGTTGAATATACTGATTAATGATTACAATAAAGAAAAAAAGAATAGGAAAAATGGAAAAAAACCCCAAACACAGTTCTGTTTGGTATTTGTTGCAATGTGTTTTCAATCCTGCATTGCTCTGAGGATGGGGGTAGGTGACCTAATAAGTTCTTTGCAGTTGTAACATCAATGGTTCACTTTTGAGCAATTACTCTCCATTTTAATGATGGGCAAAACATGTTCAGATACTAAATTTAAAACAAAAAGAACTTCAGTGACTGTTGAGCCTGGCTGGAATCCATTGGCTGCAGCTGTGTAATGTCACTGGAAACCAAATTAGAGGCACATGATCTGACAAACAGTTACTTTGAGCAAAACTTTGTTTTATATTTCTACATCCTTGTAGATTAAACTTCCCCCATGGAAATGTCTGGAGCCGTGTGCTGTCAAGGACTGTAGTCTTGGGTCCCGGCATTTGTGGACAGCTTTGGCTGCAAATTGCAAACAGCTTTGCAAGGGGGTTTCTGGGTTTCAGTGCTTGCCAAGAGTGTTTATCCCCTGGGGAGATTGCATCCTGGATGTGGACACTAGCAGGCAGTTGACATAATCGTTCCCCCCAGTGTATTAGTAATGTGCTGCACGATAACCTCTGCCACATCCCTACATGACTGAACTTTTGTTTCAGTGATGTCAGCCTTGTAATGAGTTACTAAATGCAGTTTTCTGTAAAAGTAACTCAGCTTTACACTTCCAAATGTATGTGGTGAGCTGCTAATTGCTGAGAATACAGGAGCAGTTAGGAGGACAGGAAAAACAGGAGGTTACTTTATAGATTAAAACCTCTTAAAACTCTATTGCTATGACCACCACAGCAACCTAGTAAACAGAGACATTTATTTTTTATTTCACATGCTTCTTGTTCACATCAGTTCAAGAAAGGCTGTCCAGTTATTTCATCCATACAGCAGAATTTTTAAGAGTATCAACTGTGAAAATGTTTTATGAAAATTTTCTGGTTTATGAAAATTTCAGAATTTACATAGCAGGGATCAGTACATTTGAATATGTTGTCATATGGATTTAATGGATTTAATCTTTAAAGGTATTTAGCAAATGCAATTTTCATTTAACCATCAGCTTGTTCACAAGAATTTTGTCTTGTCACCATTCTATAAGTCCTTTAGAATTTTTTCTGTGTTCTCCAACTTTTTTGCCCTGACAGCTTTTACAGGTTTCCCACATTACACATCTCTTAAAAAAATTTCACTGATTTTCTCTACCTTTTAGCTGTGATTTTTTAATCCATTAGCAAGAAGGATCTTCTAGTAGGCATGGCATACATTAACTAAAAAGCCTTTTGGGAACTGACAAAGTACCTAGAGATACGCAGGGGGGAGAAAGTCCCAGCTGGCCATGGCCCATGGTATTCCACTACATTGAAGCAAACTTTTTTTAATGGAATACCATCTGACACGCTGTCTTTAGGCATTGTTTATGAGTGAGTGTTTTATTTATGATTGTTGGCAAAGGTCCATATTAAAATGTAGTGTAATGGTAGTGCCTCTTGACAATAAAAAGTCTCAAATTTA